TCAAAATCATATGGCGTTTTTGCAACTATACATTATTGAGTAAAAACTAGCAATAATTTTGAGCTCGATTGGGTATAAAAGTCATGTGATTCATGAATGTCCCACGTGGGCTTCAGCTCATCTGGTTAGTAGCTTATGAGCCATTGAGCCTTGTCAAAATTTTCACGAAACAAACTACTCTTGTGTAGAATGTTTTATAAGGATGTTTTAATTGGACTCAATTTTTCTGGTCTGGTTTGGTCTGATCTGGTCTGGTAAATGTCTAATTATTACGTACTCCGTATTTTATAACTATCTAAATATGTTCTGATAGGACTAAAAACCATCCAAGTAAAAACATCCTTAATAAAATGAGATATTTCCCTAAATAGGAGTAAAAACGTTTTAAAATTCCAGAACATGACTATCATGGTTTTTATTCCCTAAATATGAGTAAATTTCTGCCAAGTTTGGCATTACTGGGCCTTAAACATGACATTTTTTCCCAAACTTGGCAGATTACTCATATTCAAGGAATAAAAAACATTATAGTCCTATTTTGGAATTTCAAAATGTTTTTACTCCTATTTAGAGACAATTCTCTAATAAAATAAATAAGATTGAAATTACTTTTTTTTCTATTAAAAGTGCTTAAAACTATTTCAACTATTTTCATATAATATTTTTCTTATTTTTATAATTATTTCACACATTCAATGTCTTTAGCCACTTTATCCAAAATTTGATTATAAAAAGTAACATAGTTGGGGGCTTGGGGCAATAATGGGAGGAAACCCCGCCCAAAATAAGCACAAAATAGGGAATCAATTCGAAAAGCAAATTTGGTAAATAATTCGTATAAGTAGTGTACGGAGGGAAAGAATATATTGTGGATTGACCAAGCATTAGAGCATCTCCAATGCTAAAACGTTAACAGTGCATACGTGGCATAGAAAATAACCAATTAAAAAACAATAAATACAATATCTCTCTCCTTATTTGAATGATCTTACATCAATATGGTAAAATTTTCTTCACAATGTCAAGCACAATGTCTTGATATAGTATGGGCATCCATGCGGCAGATTTGGGCAATTTACGGTAGTTTGCCCCAGAGTACCATAATTTTACCATCTTTATTTCAGCATAATAAGGAATTAATGAGAAAAGAAAATTGGTAATTAAATGCTCAAGTGTATGGTATGAAAGAAATAAAGTATGCATTGACCAATTAAGCGCGCATTAGTAATTACAAAGTGTTGGTTTTGACAGGGCTCAATCCCAAGAGCAGAATATGAAAACTTCTTTTTCAAAAAACCGGATAGCGGCGGGATTTGGTTCCCAAACTGGCCGGAAACAATGAATTGCCTCAGAATATTTTCTTTTGGACTGAAATTTGTTGGTCTGGTCTGGTCTGATCTGGTCTGGTAAATGTCTGGTCTCTGTGTATTTTATAACTATAGAAGTCTGGTCTGGTTTGGTCTGGGACTGAAAACAGTCCAAAAGAAAACATCCTTAGTTTAAATTGGGGGACGTTCAAGCATTGGTGGACGTGGTTCACTTAAGCCGCCAACGCTGTTACGCTGGTGTTCTTAATGGAGACGTTTGCTAACACTATCAGGGTGCAATACACGGGTAAAGTCTTATTTAGACGTTTGCTAACGCTGGTGTTCTTATGGTAGGATTCCATGTTTGTAATCCTACCATAATGTTATCATCTTTTATTTCAGCAACTATGTACTAACTAAAGTCTATCCCAAAAAACAGCCTTGTACGAAAAGTAAATCACACTCTGAGTTCACAAAACCTATCCAAAATGTCACCCCTCAGCTTAAGAATGTTTTTACTTGGACTGTAATTTGTCCCAGACCAGTCCAGACCAAACCAGACCAGACCAGACCAGACCAGACTTGGATAGTTATAAAAATACAAAGAAACAAGACCTTATCAGACCAGACCAGACCAGACCAGACCAGACCAGACCAGATCAGATCAGACCAGACCAGACCAGCAAATTACAGTCCAAGTAAAAACATCCTAAAACGTCATCATCTTATGAAATTGTTGGGTTAATGGCCCAACATAGGGGCCGGCCCATTCACCTCTCGTCAAAGACGAACGTCTTCCCTGGTGGGGCAGCCCACTCGAACGAACGTCCGTACAATTGTACAAAGACAAGTGGATCAAATCCATAGACAACGCAACGGCGACGAACGTCGCCTCCGGAAGCCACTGTCATTTGGAGTCAATCCAACCCATGTGACAAATCCTCTAAGGGCCAGGATACGAACGGCCCAGTACCCTTTGCAATATCACCAAGAACAACTCCCTTTACCCACTGGACGCCCGTCGCCACGGGTTAGGCGGGAAATCAAGATTCTGGTGGGAAACGCATTAAATGCTGGGGATTTGGTGGTTAGGACATCAGCCACACAACCTTCCACGTCAGCACAGTCAACTGCCCATTGGTGGTATAAATAGCATCATTTATTTCATTGTAAGAGGTTGACAACTTACTATTCTTAGCACTCTAGCTTATACCTCTCTTACTCGCAGCTCTTCTACTACCTTGTAAGACGAACGGGCGACGAGCCTTAGCAAGCGTATTGTACTAGGGAGTTATTAACTGATTAATAATATCTAATCTCTTACTTGCTTATCATTGTTAGTTCTTGATCCATCTTAGTTGCTGTTGGGCTAGTTTATTCGTACAAATACATCACTCCACTCGAGATCTTTGGGCTTACGTGTTGAACCCAAAGGTTGAAGGAATAAACCTCAACAGAAATATTTTTATTATTATTTTATTTTTTACTACAATTTTATGTTAGGTCTAAAATTGTAGTAGTGAAAAATTAAAAATATCTTTAATGTTACGTTAGGTCTAGGTGTTACATTAGAGAAATATGTAACACTTTTGTAGGTATGTGACCCTTGTACATCTTATAGTCTCTACTATATTTTAATTTTTTTCTAATTTTTAATTTTTTAATTTTTTTATAGAATATTTTAGAAGTTTTTTTTATATATTTTAATAGGATCAAATAAGTCGTATTTTTGAACTAATTAGGTTATGGGTATTAAGGGTATAAAATTAATGTTTGCTCCTATTGAAGAAAGTTTTATATTTTGCTCCAATTTGTGCAATTATGTTTATGTTTACTCTTACATTGTGCAAATTCAAATCACATTGTTTACTCGATCTTAATTAATTAAACATATGCTTAGTTTGCAACTGTTTGAAATATATACGAAGTTCTCACACACACACACATATAGGGTGGGGTTCCAATGAGAACGATGCTTAACGTGAGAACACTCACATTTAAATAAATGTGATGCACAATGAAGCTTTTTTGTTGCACATTTTCAATTTGCTCAAATTATGCCTATACTAAATAAACATGGTGGCATTTTGATAATTATTGTGAAAACGCGAAAAAGTGCAATATACAAGCTTCATTGTGCAACACGTTGGGGTAAATGTGATGTTCTCACGTTCTCACGTTAAGCATTGTTCTCATTTGATCTTTATTCCATACATACATACATACATACATACATACATACATACATACATACATACATACATACATACATACATACATACATACATACATACATGGGCGGATCCAGAAAATGTAGTAGTTAGGGGGCATAATACTTGCTAAGTAAGAGTTACAAAAAAGATGGAAAGAACAACATATGACATTCTTCATAAAGAAATTGCTAAAAATATGATCAAAATAAGAATAAGTGCATGTTTGATAGCATAAGCCCCTAACTTCAAGCTTTAGTATTATTCAAAAGAACTCTAACAACTCGTAGTTGTATGTTTGGCACGATAATTTTAAAGAGTTTTGTTTTTTCAAACTAAAAGATCTTTTTTGAAAAGCTACATTGAATAGTGCCTGCGAAAATTTGTAGTTCTTAGAATCAATTAGTCACAACAATTTATATACCAAACAGAACTAAATAAAAGTCAGCTTTTTATCAAACAACTGTCACTTTTTTCTTTTCATATCGTTTCAATCACTAAATTCAAACAATTACTAAATAGATATTAAAAATATGTTTTTACTCTATAAAACTTAGACAAAGTTCTTCTCCCTTTTTTATAAATAAATTTTATTGAGTAACATATTTGAAAAACCTTTAGTCAATAAACCTGATTATGAGAATGAAGATTACAAAATCAAGTAATTTAAATCTTCACTAGTCGGCTAGATAATTGACAAATCCAGCTATAAAAAGGCGTGGTTGGTGAAAACTGATTGGTTGGTGGCGTAGTAAGTATGCTTGCTCTATTGTACAAGTACTCTATCTTTAGAGTTATGAAATTAGAATAACATCTAGTTTAAATGATAAAGTGGACTCTTACAAAAATACGGAGTAAATTAATAGGCTGACCGACTTTGATCTCTACGTACATGCAGCTTTTACATTTCAAGATGATTGTGATTTTGTGGAGTATTTAATGAGGGCATTCTTATTTTTTGTTGGAGGCACAAGTGATTAATGGGCTAAAAGCAAGAAAAATTACACTAAAAAAGACAAATGCTATTGGGGGCAAGTGTCCCCATTCTCAAAAGGGTGCATCCGCCCCTGCATACATATATGGGAGGGTTCTAGTGAGAACTCATCTTAAAATGAGAACTCGTTATCATGAGAACTTTTAATCACAACCTTTTATTTAATTCAATCATTGGTAGGATGTACATGAGGTACTTTGTGTAATTATTGAAAATTTAAATGGGGTCTCTTTTGTAATTATTGTAGAGTTATTACATTAATGTCACCTTATTAATTATAACTCTTGATTTCAAAAAGTGCATCAAATAAGGTCTATTTGAAAGTGCATTAGATAGGAGTTATTGTGCATTAGATCGACACTTTGGATGGTTGAGATTAATTCTCATCTTACATGTTAACATGTGTTCTCATTATTGTACACACACACTCACTCTGTTTCTAAATCAAAGTCACACTTTGATTTCATACTTTTTGAAGAAATAAATTTATTGAGGGGTAAATTTTATTACTCCGTATAAAGTACACTGTTTTGACACAGTTTAACACTATTTTACACTATTTTGTACTGTTTTGATATAGATTTGTTTGACAAATAAGGAAGTATGATTTTGTTTTGAAAAAAGGAAAGTATGACTGCGATTTACAAATATAAAGAAAAACTAGTACTGCGTATGCTATGCTGGATGATATTTTATTTAAATTCCGTACTACTGTTTTATTGATTATTGAATTTTGCAGGAGTAGTTAAGGATAATTATATACTCTGTATATTAATCAGCGTACTAAGCCAGTAGCAATGATTCGACTCGAGTCCAGATGAGTACTCTCGAACACCGGCAGTTCTTCCCGGAATCTTCTTTTTCCGAACAGGGCGTGATGATCAATTTCGAATAAATCTGAACTCGAATCACTCAAATCATCATCATCAGAACAATCTCTCCCTTCTTCTGCACTCATCCATGATTCCTCATTCTTCCATTGATGACGATTCCGGTGTTGATGGTAGCCTTTGAGGACAATGTGGCCTCTCGACAAGCCCGCCTCATGAAGAGCTTTCTTGGTTTCTTGAAATCCCGGCGCCGGAGATTCACCGCCGCCGTATGCGTTCTCCTCGCCGAGGATGACGCCAACGGGGTTGAATCTCACTGTCCTCTTCGCCCCGCTCCTGCTCATCCTCGGCGTCTTGTTCAGACAAGAGCGTGCTATCGATGTCGGAGTAGATGCCGACGTGGAGGGCGCGCTCTTGTCCCTGCCTTTCCTGGCGTGGCTTCTGCTGACAAAAAGGCAGTTGATGAAGTGGGTGAGACGAGCCCCCGGAGAAACGGGCGGTTTGATCATCCTCGATTTCTCGAGCCCCAACGTTGTCGTCCTCACCGTCTTAGACGACCTCGTAGAATTGAAACATGATGTTTTTTTGGATGAACTGTTACATTTCCAAAACGAACCCGAAAAGTCTGCCTCCGCCGTTTGCGCGGCGGAGCTAGAGCGGGGCGTGGTGGAGCTAAAGAAGAAAGGATCGTCGTAGCTCGTCGAGATTAACAAGGAGGAAAGACGCTTTGCACCCTTACAAGGTTTGGTTGATGAGAATTTGTGATTCACCAACTTTTGTTCCATCAACTTCTCTATCAAACAAGCCCTCCTAAAACTCACAACACCATTGTTGTCATCATCATTGGCAAAGGTTCCTTTTATTGGCCTGTTGAGTTTTTTTTCGTCGAACCCATCGATGGAGCGATAGATTTCGTCGAGGAGGGTGGAGGAGAAGGAAGAGTATCTAGGTTCTTTCACAGATTTTTGTCGCTCAAAATTAGACATTTCTCCTCAAATTGTGGGAAGACTTAGAAGAGGAAAAGTGGCAGGATTGGGAGAATGAGCGAGAGATAGAGGAGGGTGGGCTTTATATATAAAGGGGGAGATAACGTATGCATGGTAGTCCTGAATCTAGCCTATTTGCTTAATTTTCAATTATATTCGCCAGCTTGGCAGCTAATCATTTGGCTTTCAATTACATTTCCTTTTGTGCCTCTAATGTTTGGCTATATTTCATTTGCATTAAATTTGGGTCTAATGCCATAGTTGAATCAGAGAGTGTTCCAGATTCAAACAATTCAAAAATAAATGTTCCAAATTAAAAAACAGTGTTCCCGATTCAAAAGAAGTCCTTCCACTCCTTGGCTTGCTTTTAAGAAAAATTCTATTTGTACCCGTCCCTTTATATTCACTCTTATACCTATTTCTGTGAGAAGTTAATCTTTTGTTTGTGAATCCCATTTACAGACAAAAGTATGTCTATGTTATTTGTATAAATAGCAAAGTTGAGTATAAGAGTGGGTATAAATAGTAAAATTGGGGAAAAAATTGAACAAAAACACGGATTGTGTTCAGTTTGTATTGCTGACTAATTTTATTTGAAAAGAGATTTTAAAATTAAATACTAAAATATATGTGATGATTTTGAGTTCTTACTTTAATTGATCCTATCTGAACTTAGACCAAACATGGATTACAAAACCTGACTCAGATCATATATAATGGGTCTCGTTTTGATCCAGACACAATTCATTGTCTGAGATATTACTGGTTGGTTTGCGTGTAACAAAAATCCGACTCAAATGGGATCGATCCAATTCGTGTTTTCATTTTTCACCTTTCTTTGTATTTTGAATTTCAGGCGCACCTAAACTATTTCAAAGGCAATGTCTCAAGGAGTCAAGGACTGGCCGGATGGATTGCAATTCAGTTTTTGTTTTTGTCAATTATATATGTCACCTTATTACATCACTTTTCTTTGATAAATATTCTTAAAAATATGAGAAATTCCTCATAATTCTTGTTGGTACTCTTCATGCAGTCATTCTCCCACTGCTATTTCCTCGGCCTTTTCATCCACATATTCTCTTTCTCTTCTATCATTTTTAAGTCGCAAGTATAAACTAAAACTGGTATTTTTTGTGCATATTAAGATGACATTTTTGTTTGGATCAATATGACACGCTTTCTACTGATCAAAATGGCATTGTTGTATAGGTCGAACTTAGGACGGCTTGCCTTCATGGATGCAATGCAGGGCCGTCTTTTAGAAGGTGCAATAGGTGCTTGGCACCGGGGCCTACTCTTGTAGAGGGCCTCCAAAAATTTAGAGGGTAGTATTAGTTATAGGTTGATTTTTCTAGATTTCATGTATTATTCAAGATTTCAAAAGGCAGATAACCTTTAAATTCTCTAATTTATGGAATTTAAACATCATAAAACTTATATTTCATTGAATTGTCTGTATTATTTGTATTTCATTGTCAAAATTTGCATTTTTCTTGTCTTAGGGGCCTCAATTTGTCATTTTGAACCGGGGCCTCCAAATTCATTAGATGGCCTTGATGCAATGATGAGGTTAACAGCGGTCTCTGACTCTATACGAAGTTAAATTGTCCACCTAACTTTGTCCCGTTTTACCTTTTTCGTCCGTCTCATTAAGTTTGTGTCATATTATATTAGATAATATTCGAGTGGTTAGAATTCATTCTTATTTTATTCACACTTTATTAATTCAATTTCAACCACACAATTCTACTTTTTATTAAAAACCACATTACACCCCTTTGTCCCAAACTTAGGGGGCGGAGGTAGTACATCGTATTAGTTTTCTAAAAATTTACCAATCTATATTTGAGCATTTTGATAGGTCAACCTTATATGAAAAGTAGCTCATGATCTTACCTACTTCCTCCGTCCTAATTTGTTTTGTAAAGTCAACATTTTTTTGTCAACAACAACAACCCATCCTTAGTCCCAAAAGAGATTGGGGTCGGCTAACATGAATCGATACATGATAACACCATCAAAAGGAAAAGAAAGAAAATAAAGATAAAAAACAAGCTATTATAAAAAGGATAATATAAAACGGGATGAATATACTTAAAAATGATAAAATAAAAAGGATGAAAATAATGTTTATATATATAAGGATAAAAGAATACAAAACAAGAAGAAAAAAGATGAGGGGAAATAATAATAATAATAATAATAATAATAATAATAATAATAATAATAATAATAATAATAATAATAATAATAATAATAATAATAATAATAATAATAATAATAATAATAATAATAATAATAATAATAATAATAATAATAATAATAATAATAATAATAATAATAATAATAATAATAATAATAATAATAATAATAATAATAATAATAATAATAATAATAATAATAATAATAATAATAATAATAATAATAATAATAATAATAATAATAATAATAATAATACGAGATCACTCCTCCACACGAATACCCGCCCTTCACTTTGCTCTCTCCAAAGCCATGCCCTCGTCCAACCCAAGAAGAAGCATATCACTTCGGACTGCCCTAACCCACGTCTGTTTGGGTCTTCCTCTCCGCCTCTTCTCCACACATCTCAACACGTCTGACAGGTGCATCAGTCCGTCTTCTATGCACATGACCAAACCACCGTAGGCGAGACTCGCGCATCTTGTCTTCAATAGGTGCTACTCCCACCCTTTGTCTAATTGTCTTATTTCTCACGTGGTCCTTCCTAGTATGCCCGCACATCCAACGCAACATGCGCATCTCTGCCACATTCGTCTTTTGGATCTGACATTGTTTCACCGCCCAACACTCTACGCCATACAACAATGCAGGCCTAATTGTTGTCTTATAAAATTTACCCTTCAGTCTGGTCGACATACCTCGATCACATAGAAATCCCGATGCACTCTTCCACTTCATCGACCCTGTTCTGATTCTATGGGATACATCTCCATCTAGCTCAACGTCCTTCTGAATTATGGAACCCAAGTAACGGAACATATCACCGACCGGTATCTCCTTACCATCTAAAGTAATTCCAATATTACCACTGCTTCTACCTCCACCAAACTTGCACTCCATGTACTCTGTCTTGCTCCGACTTAATCTGAAACCTTTGTTCTCCAAAGTTTGTCACCATACTTCCAACTTTGCTTTAAGACCTGATTGCGTCTCATCAATAAATACAATATCGTCGGCAAACATCATGCACCACGGTATTTCGTCTTGAATTGACTTTGTAACTTCATCCATGACTATGGCAAATAAGAAAGGGCTCAGAGCCGATCCTTGGTTCACTCTGATAGTAATAGGGAACTATGCAGTCCTCCCTATATTTGTACGAACACTTGTAGTACAATCCTCATACATATCCATGATGATGCTGATATACTTGCGTGATATGCCGTTTCTAGTTAAGGCCCACCAGAGAACTTCTCGAGGTACCCTATCATAAGCCTTTTCTAAGTCAATGAACACCAAATGCAGATCCTTGTGAGCGTCTCCATTTTTCTCCATAAGCTGCCGATGAAGGTGAATGGCCTCAGTTGTTGAGTGACCAGGCATAAAACCGAATTGATTCTCTGAAATCTTCACAATTCTTCGAAGTCTTTGCTCAATCACTCACTCCCAAAGTATCATGGTGTGACTCATAAGCTTAATCCCTCGATAGTTGACACATTCTTGTACATCACCTTTATTCTTGAATAAGGGGATAAGAGTACTCTTCCTCCAACTCGTTGGCATCTTGTTGTTTCTCCATATCATGTCAAAGAAACTTGTTAACCACTTGACGCCTCTCTCTCCCAAACTTCTCCAAGCCTTGATCGGTATGCCATCTGGTCCCACTGCTTTCTTCCGCCCCATCTTCCTCAGAGCCTCCTTAACTTCCGTTGTTTAAATTCTTCTCACAAAATCACGATTTATTACCATACAATCTGGTATGGTCAAATCACCGATATCTTGCGCTTCGTTCCCGTTGAAAAGTGTATCAAAGTAAGACCTCCACCTCTCTTTTATCTCCCCGTCCTCCATTAGTACCCTTTGATCGACATCCTTCACACACTTAACTTTTCCTATATCTTGAGTCCTACGGTCACGAAGACGAGCAAGTCTGTAAATCTTTTTCTCCTTCCTTAGAGTCCAATTTTGCATACAATTCCTTGTTCACTTTTCCTCTTGTTTCCTTTACAAATTTCTTTGCTCTTCTTCTAGCCTCCTTGTACTCCTCTATGTTCTCGTCGCTCCAACTTTTGCCCAATTTCTTATAGCATTCCCTTTTGATCCCTATTGCTTGTTTCACCTCATCACTCCACCATGATGTGTCCTTTTTTTGTGGTAGACATCCTTTAGATTCTCCAAGTATCTCTTTCGCCACTTTGTTAAAGGTGAACTCCATTGATAACCACACATCATCCACATGTGCGTCATTATCAATGGACCATACATCTTCCTCCAACATTTTCTGCGTAAAAGTTTGTTCGAGATTCCCCTATAACCTTCACCACTTTATCTTTGGCTCCCCTTGTACCTTAACCCTCCTTCTCTTTTTACCTTGAAAATCAAGCACAAGCATCATATATTGAGTGACAACACTCTCACCGGGGATAACCTTACAATCAGTGTAACTAGTTCTCCAAGTCGTCCGTACTAAAAAGTAGTCAATTTGGGTACTATTAGCTCCACTTCTATAGGTCACAAGGTGCAAGTCTCTTTTCTTGAACCAAGTGTTCATCACAGCCAACTCATATGTCGAGGCTGAGGCAAAATCCAGAATGTTCTTCCCCGCTTCATTTCTAGTGCCAAAACCATGTCCGCCATGGATACTCTCAAAACCATCATGACTCGGGTCCACATGCCCATTGAGGTCGCCTCCTATGACTAATTTCTCTCCCTTTGGCACTCGTCACACCACCTCCTCAAGATCCTCCCACAATTGTTGAGTGATAGATGCATCCAATCCCACTTATGGTGCATAGACACTTACCACTGACACGATCTCATCTCCTATTATCAACTTAATGCTCATGATGCGGCC